CGGCTATCCCATCTCATGAGCATCCTTATCACGAAGTATTTTAATTTTTAGATGTACTAGAACCTTAATACTTCAAGGATAAAATTATAACACAAAATATTTTAAGGTGTTGAACATGCCTCGAAAAATACTTCAAGGTACTGGATAAATTATAAAATACTTTAAGATGTTGAACTCCTTTAAAAAATACTTTAAAATACTAGATCAACCTTAACCCTAAAAAAAACCTTATATCTAGGGTCCATAACCCTTCATTGACGTTGAAGCTGATGATGCATGCAGGTGTGAGTGGAAATGGTTACTCCCAGGCCCCGGTTCAACATGGAATGCAGCATAATAGACCATATGGTGCCAAGCGGACCAATAATGGTTCAGCCATACGGGTTCAAATGGGTCCGAACCCATATTACATGCACCAAGGCGGCCAAGCCATTCAGGGCGATGTGGTTCAACGAGGCAACTTCAGTGGACGTGGCATGGGAGCTAGGCTTAGTGGCCATTTCTGTGTCTCTGGTGATATTAATTAACTGATTAAGGAGCTTATAATTAATTAATCCAATTTAGTACCTAAAATTATTGTTTGGCAGTCATGAAGAAAATATTTAATAAAATGATCATCAAATAAAAACTGTGTAATAATTAATGGATGAGTTTGGATCCTTTGGAGTTATTTGGTTGTGAAATTATTATATATATATATATATATATATATATGTAATGTACTGAATTTATATAATTAATTATGAGTTTTTGTTGTTGATTGTCCTTTTTTTTGGGTTCATCAAAGGTGTATTTGGGACAATAAATCTGTTTTGTTGATGGGTAGATTTATGTTTGTGGGAGTATCAATTGTGATGTTTGTGTGTAAAAGTAGAATAAATGGCTATAAATGCCCTGATTATATGTTGATGAAAAAATGTCCCTATTATGAAAAAATTGTTTTGATGATTATATTAATGCATGTATATGTTAATATATTGTTTTCTCATCTTTATTAAAATCATAATAAAATTGTTCATTTTATTTTTATAAATACAAAAAAAGGAGTAATAATAATTTTTAATTATCATTATTAACAATAAATTATATAGGTAATTTCAACTTTAAACAAACCAAATTTACATTCTTTCAATCCAATCAAGATTGCACAGCTCAGCAACAAGAGAATACTGATTAAGTTAAAAAAAAAAAAAAAAAAAGAAGAAGAATATTGATTAAGTTTGATGACGCTATAAATTTAAGATTCGGTTTAATTAAAATTTTCAAAAAATTAAATTTAAGATTCGTGATTAGCCAAAATACACGTGTATAGTATGTGACAATATATCATTAGACTAATGATCAATTAATAGGATTATCATATGCTTATTATTACAAGGGAATTGAACCCGTGACTTCCCTACTTATAGTAAAGATTTTTTATTATTAGACTACTCCTATTTATAAATTACGTCAGACAATGCTTTTCATTTAAAAAAAAACTCTTAAACTTTATTAACTCTATTTTAAAATTTAATAACTTTTTTACTTTATCCTTATTTGATATATATGATACCTCAAGAAAACAAAATCAAACAATATAATAAATAAAAAATAAAATTATATATTTATGTAAAAAAAATTTCTCTTATAGATAGTCGGAATACTTTTTTCTAATCCCCAACTTCCTCCATCTATAAAAAGGACCATCACTCCCCTTGGCTGTTTTTGGTATGACGCGAAAACCACTTCCCGTCTCAAATTTCAACTTTGTGTTTTCGCTTCTAAATATACTCACGATTGGAGGACCCATCATCGTCATCATGATCACTTAATAATGGCATCAGGTAATCCTTCTTCTGTTTTAGGGTTTGCAGGTACGGCCATGGCTGGTGGCGGCTATTATTACTATCAACAACCACCTCAACCTCAAATGCTTCAGCCCTCTTATTATCCTAATAATGCTCCTTACGCTTCAGCCCCAACCATGGCGCCTGCATTAGGGCATAATAACAATAACTACCACCAGAATCACAGCAACAGTGGCTCTCAAACTATTGACGGCGGGACGGCTCAGACCGGTACCTTCAAGGGTCACGGCACCGGAGCCACCGTGCTGCACGGCTTCACCGCCACAAGCTCCATTCAGTAGCCATGTTACGACCCCGCAGGGGATCTCACAACCAGCGAACTGATAGCAGTTAAAGATGAAGCTAAGTTTGATCCCTATGCATATACTCCTCCGATCCTAATTATAAGACCCAATTGACTTATTTGAGGAGATTAAGGAAGTAAGTTAAGTTGGTTATTTATAATAAATAAGTGTTGTCATTCCTAAAATATCCTTGCTAATTAAGTATATTGGCTAAAACTATCATTATTAGAAGGATTATCTTGGAAAAAAATGCATAAATATAAGAGACAAAATGGATTGGGTCTTATAATTAGGACCAAATAAAAAGTCAAATTGGGTCTTATAATAAGGACCGGAGGAGTATGTATGATCTGCTTATTAAGTAAACTGAGCAGTGTTGCTCATAAATAGTGATTAGTAATATCTGATCTTCATAGATTTGTGATGCAGATTTAATTAATTAATTTTCTTTTGTTAGTTATTTATTTTGTTAACTACCCATTAACCCATTTATTGATTTTGCATTTTAATTATTTTATTTAAAATTAGGTTATAAGTACTCTAGGTTTTTATCGTGTAAGCAGATTTGGCTTTTGACGTATCAGATAGTTTTATTCCATTCCCGTTCTCGTCTTTGCTCTTTCTTTCTCTATAATATTTTTCTCTAATCTCCTTCTCTTTCCCTTTTTTTTTTTCCGTTTTACATCAATTTGATTTTGGTTTGTGACTGTATTAATTACGTTGTTAAAGCGGCTGAGCACTGGCGTGCCTATATACAAATATATGTTTTTGACGTTATAAGTAACTTCTAATATGTTTTTTTTATACAGGTTTATAAATTTATGATTAATAAAATGATAATATTTTAAAAATAAGATATGTGGCCATGTGTGACTAAAAAATTTAATATAATAAATATAAAAAATTAATCTAAGTATGATATTTTTTTTAGCGAACCTTTAATCTTTTTTGTGTGAATGTTCATTCTTCAATATTTAGTCTAATTATGATTAAACAATATTCGCTCTTCGATGTTGAATTCTTTCTTTTTCTTTTGATATCACCATATGGTAAGTTCAGATTGAAGTACTGCCAGGCCTAATTAGGGATAATTTTTTTAAAGTTATTTTCTATATTTACTTAGACTCAAACTCAAAATCTTATACTTTGGTGGCTAAAACTACTAGTCTTCAATATTATTGAATTCAAGTTTAACTTCTCTCGATTTTCCTTTACATGGTCATGTATCCTATTTTTTAAATATCATCATCTAATTATAAAAACATTTGAAAAAAAAAATGACATATGATTGAAAACTTGAAATAATAATTATAAGAAATTTAATCTAAATGTCCTATAAAAAGAAGTCATAAATGAAAGAAAAGATGATAATAGTTAAGGAATAAATAACAAATCTTCTTAGATCACGATTCAGGAGAATAAAGATGACAAATTACGGAATATTGCGAAATGGGGCTGTTATTACAAGGAACAAATGCCAAGTTAGAAGCATATATGCAAACTAACTTTTCTTAATTTAGCCTCGAAGAATATAAACATTAATATATAAACACGACTTTACAATTAATTATTGAATATAAATTATAGACTAAATGTTTTTTTGGCACGAATATAAAAACTAAATAAAATAAAACTATGTATATACTCAATTCCAACTATTAAATATTCATTCAATAGTGTTTGTTTTTTTTTTAAATAGAGATTTTCTGAGAACAACATTAAAATTTCTTTATATATAAATAATATAAATTAAAAGTAATTGTTTTGGTGACAACAAAGAGATAACTTAAAAATAATCAAATTTAAAAAGAAAGCAATGTTATGATTAAAAAGTAAGCACTAAATAGGGTCTCTTCACTTCTTCCCTTCCCTTTCCCTTTTCCATCCTCTTCCTTTAAATTGACACATCTTAACGGTTCAAATTTTAATGTTTTTAAAACTTATTTATAAAATATTTTTTAAAACCTTTGAATGCATTTGTAAACGGTTGAAATTAAATTTTAGTAGTTTGTATGTTATTGTTTCATTATTTTTATAATTTATCATTTTAATAATGATTCTAAAAAAGATTAAAATTTAAACCATTAAAATATTGATTCAAGATTAGAAAAAGAAGAGGAGAGATCTCAATTTGCCTCTATCGATCCAAGGATTAAAAAACATCACAAATTCTCCATAATAGTTAGAAATAATCAATTTACCTCTATTAAAATCAAATGGAACTCGTAAAAGGGAGCTACGGGTTTATACAAATTCACTAATTACCTAGAATTCATTATAACTTCATGATAGTAGAGAAATGTACAGAGAAGCTGTGAAATTTTCAAAATAAATATAGGGCTTGATGACAGAGTTAATATATAAATTTTAAATATAACAAAATAATCCACCATTCATTTTATGATATTTATAATAACCATATACAAGAAAAAGTAAGGGAAAATCGCAAAAACAAATCTAAAATTGAAATAAGAACCCATTACAATATTAGTATGGGTTTTGACAATAATTGATAAGCAAATGACAATAATTTTTGTGAATAGATCCTTATATACAATTTTTTAATTTTAAGAATTTTTTTAATGATTTTCTCAAAAAGTAAATTGGACAGGCATCAATTGAGAACTTTGTAGAAAATCGTCCAAACGATAATTTGGACATGTATGAGGAAAATCAAAAGAGACACCGATAAGGAAGCTTGAACAGATTGTTTTAAGTCCCATGAGAAGAGGTAGATATAAGACCAAAAAGAACCAAATGAGACGATGTTTGTTGTAATTTTCTTTTTGAACTTTTAATTAAAATAGAATCCCAATTTAAATTAACCCATGTAGTGTCTCTTAAGTGCATACAAAATGCAGAGGGCTAAATTTAGTAAATTCCAGTAAAATAGATAATGTAATTCGAAATAAGAACTTCCAACACACATCTCTATCAGAAGACCAGATTCAAGGACCTGGAATAAATTACCTAAACCTAAGAGCACGATTTCTTGCAGAATAATTGTGATATATACATATACTTGCTCTAAGAGAAACATTAACCTATCATCAACACAATGGTAATTCCTGAATGCAAAATCAATAGAGAGAGAGAAAGAGAGAGAGTTGCATATAACCATCACAGTATTGCAGGGGAAAAAAGCAATGGTGGCGAAGGTCATATTTGCTATTGTATCTATGACAAATTGACGATGCAGACAAAATGGACTTACGCTTCATCAGAGAAGGACGCCTATGACTGCTCTCAATTATTTCCTTCAGCCATGCAGTACACAGATAGAGGAGACCTCCTTCCCTAGCTCAACAAATGACAACAGAAAGAACGTCTAAGGCATTCTGTACACCACAATCATCAGTTAGAGGTCAAGAAGCAAACGGTTGGCATGCTACGACCGAGCAACAGGGGCGCTAGCCTTCGTAAGCGCTTTTGTAAAGTAGTTGCGTATTTCTGGCATGATGCGTTGAATCAGATGAGAGTGCCTGCAAATATTCGGTGCACAAGGAAATTCAAATCCGGGAAAATCAGACAGAACTCGTACAATTATAGATATGAATTTCAGTTTTTAATTTCTTTTAATATACGTAAATGGGTTAGTAACAGCAACCACGTTCTGAATAGTTGTGCTTGGATCAACCAGATGATACCAGATTACCGAACTCATGTCAACATAATGGAAATTTAAGATCTCAGAAAATCATAAATAAGTCGCATAAACAGAGGATGAGAAGCGAAAATTGGGTTTGGGATTGAAGAGAGAGAGAAGAAATGAGAAATGAATTTTTTTTTAATAACAAATGCGGGTCCAAGCCCTCAAAGAAATGAGAAATGAAATTTTAGCATTAACATTTTATTATTTTTTGATTAGAATATGAGAAATGAAATTTTAAAATTTACCTTTTATTCAATTTTGATTAGAATAATCAGTCCAAAAAAATGATTAGAATAAATGTTGGTTTTCTTTCCCAGCTTGACTCATTCTCCTCAATTCAAACAAAGTATAAGGGGCAAATAGTTTGATTTAAAACCGAAGCAAAGAACATATCAGAAGTAAAAGTCAATTCTTGTTTCTTTCCCTCAATCCTATTCAATCCAAACATTCCTGACAAGCCACCAAATTAAAATGAAAGAAAAAGGCTCTCCAACGGCCCCCACCCCGATACTCATTATCCCCACCACTAAAAATTTAAAACGAATAAATATTTAGTTGATTTTTTTTTTTGGGGGGGGGGGGGGATGGCTCCTCAAATTTGTACAACTGTAAACCCTCCATGTCCCATGTAAACGAAAATACCCTCATATAGAAAAGGATTGGCACTAGAATGAAGCAGGAATTTTGGGTTCAGCCATGTCACTCCAGCCCAGAGGATTGATCCTTAGTACTCCTATTAATTGTTTCTAATGCAACCAAAATACTATTGTATTTTGTAAATTATACATCCATTCCCTTCCCTTGTGCCATTGAAAAATCTAACACAAGGGTGCACAGAGTTCAAGGATCAGATTATTACTGCATTACTGAGGCAAAAAGAATATCTAACATAAGGGTGCACAGAGTTCAAGGATCAGATTATTACCCTGGCCTGGCACACAGTTTATCATACTGCTCTAGGATATAAACGATGCAGGTGTCCCTCAATGATATTGCATTAAAGGCTTCCGAAAGTTCATACATACTTGATACAGTCTCAAGTGATATATCCTGGGCGAAAAAATCAGTTGTACAACGTAAGCCAGTATCCTTCAAGTCTAATATTAGTGCAGGAATATATGACAATGCACAAATGTGTATGTAAAACTAGCTACATCAGCTCACCTGCGCAATTGCATACTCACACAGTCTCTTAAGTCCTTCTAGGAGATATTGATCAGCTGCTCGAAGGAGCTCTTGAGCAATGTCCAAAGTAACATCAACTGATCCAGTATAGATGAATCTGGACAAAATTTAATTAAAAAAAAAGTAAGTTCTCTGCAGACAATCAGATTAAAGGCTTTTTTAGCATCACAAATTTCACAAGACACAGCAATTCATAATTCATATTATACCTCATCATTAGTTCAAAAACCTCCCATCTTATGTTTGGAATTTCTATATCCCTTGCATCCTTCTCCTGCCATACAACATATTAGGGGATTAACAAAGGTGTAGAATGTAAATTAACATGCATTTTTTCACCTCAATTGTCAATTTAAGGTAAAGGCTTGGATGGGTATGATGTATAATTATACTACCTTCAGTCCTTCCTTAATATAAAAGCTAGATAACTAATTTTGGAAAGATTAAGAAAATTTATTAATTTGGTTAATTGTATCAAATGCACATTAACTTTCCTAATCTATTATCTTTAATCATGTGGATTAGAAGTATCCCAGATGGGAACCCCTTAAAATCAATTAATAGAGATATTTTTTAAAAAAATTATAAATTTAAGAGATAAAGTACATTAAGATCTTATATTTAGAACCAAATTCAACTTAGTAGTATTTACTTGGCAAGGCTCCAATGAACAATTAGATGGAGCAATGAACGAGCACAACCCTATGTTTGGATGGGGGGGGGGGGGAATAGGGAAGAAAGAATACTAGGAGAGAAAACTCCCAAAAATAGTAAATTTTTTTGCTATTTTTGGAAGTTTTCCTTCCTAGTATTCCCTCCCCCCTATTTTCCTCCCACTTTACCCTCCATCCAAACATAGCCTAATTGAATGGAGTTAATAAATGATTTTCTTCATATTTTCATTCAAGAAAACAGTGCCACATACGATTACATTTTTCCTGGGGGACGAAGGGAGAAGAGATTACACACGGGTCAAGATCAACAAATAGATACTCACCCTATAACCGCCATCAAACATTGCACGAAATGCATCTGAAGATGCAAGTAGGCAGATTCTGTGAGCATAAAACCGCTTCCCTGCAGTGAAGATTGAACACTACTCAATAAACTAAGCATTCTACATGATGCTACAATAAATTTCATTTAAAATAATTTATTTTCAAAGAAAAAAGTTTTAAGGAAAAGGGAAAAAAAGTTTGTGACAAGCATCAACCTTCAACCAAAAATGTAACATCAGACAGTGTAGCATTGTTAACATACTGCTCTCCCAAATACACCTGCAAAAAGAATAGTTTATTATTGCATGCATTCCAACTTTATGAGACAACTTACTGTGGAATAGTCTGCAGAAGGAGAAGTAAGAAAAAGAAGATATCTGTAAGGATTCTTACAAGTGCAGGCATAGTTGACATCAATTATATCACATAAAAACCAAAATTGGATCAGCATATGCAGACTAATTACACGGACCATTTATATATCACAACAAATTGTTTACTGGATATGCACATCAACTTTGAAATGCAGTAGGCCTACATTAAGAAGAAGATAATATGTTAACTACTTATTGGATTAGCATATGCTTAACTAGTTACATTGTTTACCCTATGAAGATCCTCTGATCTCCGATTACTCAGTTATTATCCAACCAAATACACTGCACAAGCATAGATTGAATGGCATTACACTAGCAGCAACCCGGCAAAAGAAAAAAGAACAAAGAAATGTCTTGCTAGCTTTTGAGGGGCTGGACTCTCTTCCAACTGCAGACTAAACCTTCGGCTTTCACTGTGTATGGAGGTTGATGAGGACCCAGCACCGTACTTACATCAAGTAAAATGAGCTACTTCATAGGGTATTTAGTGCAGGTGGCTCTACACCTTATCAGCTATTACTTTTGGGGTGGATTTACCCTCTGTTCCTTGGGTGCTCATCAAGTATACAAAATTACATATAAATTTTAAAAATTGTGGAAGGCCAGACTTCTTGTCCAATCAATCAAATGCCATATCGCCAATCAATTGCAGCACCTATATATTACAATCAAACAGCTAATACTTTTTGAGCTTAAACTGTTTGGATGAATCTGTGTTTCTTTATAGAGAGCAGAAAACCTAAAAGCAAGTAATGTGGAATTATCCTGATACCTCAACAGCAAGGAAGCAAAGGACGGAATTAAATCACACACGGGGAGCACAAATGGGTGTGTCAAGATATCAAACTGTAGAAGGATTTTTTTTTTTTTTTTTGGGTCATGGTAAGCTCATGGGAATGAAGGTATGAGGCCACGCCACCACAGGATATAAGCCCACCTGAGGTGTTGGAGAGAGGGGAGCATCATCCATGGGAGATAGAGTCATGGCTTTCTTGGCCAACCTGCATAAAGCTACAGCACCATCAAGTTGCTGCTTTGGGCTAGAAGAGCCAAGAAGCCCAATCAGCAACTCCAAACCTGCACGAACAGATAATCAGAGCCATGAACATAGGAAGGATTTAAGCAACAAGAACCATCAGGAATCAAAGATCAAATTTATGAAAAGGATTATATGGAGCAAACCATTGTTATCAATGAATATTAATCTCTGATCATCCACAGAACAAAGATGAGCAAGAGCCAGTGCAACTCGTCTTTGGACAGCCTTTTCTGAAACTCGCATAAGATATAACAAATGACTCAGGACCTGCATGGTGAAAAATAGAGGATTAAAAATTCGAACATCTTGATCAAATAAACTTATAGGCTGAGAATCAATACAGCAGTTCATGATATTTCAAAATTAATCAACATTATATGCATCTCAATAAATTATAAAGGGCACTTCTGCTTACGCGGCCATGAATCTTTTCCTCTAATCTTTTCAATGTCTTTGCAACACAATCTTTTGTCGCCTGCAGAAAGGTATGAATTCCATGCAGATCAGAATAGGTCCAAGGAGAGTTTTTTCCCACCCCAGTTCTCAAAAATAAGACCATACCACCATGCAATCACAACGTACATGATTCCAATGATATGACAAGATTAAAAAAACATCATAATGGAAGCTAATTTCTCAAAGCAGATAAACAGTACTTACTTGACAATAAACTCTCCATCCTGCAGTCTCTGAATTCCACCTACACCCTAATAAAATCGGACACATTATCCTATGGAAGAAAATGAAATAACAAAGAATAATCAATTAAATTGTGCTCAGATTTTCAAACCAATTTAATAACAAGTTATCCCAATTTCATTAGAA